ACCGTGATGGCCTCTTCTCGGCGGAGTTCGGGAAGTGGACACGGTGTTGGAGTAATGTTTGCGCAGGTTGCACTCTAGTTTCTCGCTCGCGCTTTGCCTCCTCTTCTCGCTCTCCTTTGCGAATAAGTTAGCCACCATACTCGCTAGTCGCTTGCAGCAGCTCTTTCATATTTTACCTTGCCATTCCTATAAGCTTAAATAGTCTTGATCGCGAGGGTGCGAGATTGCTGAGTCCCTGTGGCTCACAGATTACTATTACATCAGATGCAGGGCCTGATGATTCCGCTCCACGAGACGCGTATGAGCTCAAGTGGGAGTTCGACGAAGACTCTCAACGTTACTATGTTTCCTTTCCCGATAATCAGTAGTGGTGCCCAGTTGGGGGTGATTGGGACCGTGTCGCATGTTGGGTTCTCTTTTATTTTGGCGCCGTAGTCGGGCCATGAGTGTTTGGATGATGTAATGATATTTATGTACTTGATTGACATGGCGAGTGTAAGCCAACTATGTTATCTCCCCATTTTATTATCTATTACATGGGATGTTGTGAAGATTGCCTAACTTGCGACATATGCCTTCAATGCGATTATGCCTCTAAGTCGTGCCTCGACACGTGGGAGATATAGTCGCATCGAGGGTGTTACATCTTGTATTCGAGCCCTCGAGGCCCCTGGCTTGTAATATGATGCTTGTATGACTTATTTTATTTGTAGAGTTGTGTTGTGATACCTTCCCGTGAGTCCCTGATCTTGATCGTACACGTTTGCATGTATGATTAGTGTACGATATGATTAGTGTACGATCAAATCGAGGGCGTCACACTACTGCTGTTCTCATCACGCCCGATAATTGTTCGATGAATCGCCGGAGCTGAAAACAATTGTCCCTTCTTCTTTCTAGCAATGGATTTCGATTTGGAATACATATATGATAAGTGTGTTGAGTTGTCCGACGGCTCGTCGGACGAGGAGTACTTCGATGAGACGGGGATGATGCAGGCGGTTCTTGAAGACACAAAACGTGCGGAGGAGCATGTTCTCAATTTCAAGGGCTCGATCAATGGTCATTGAGTGCTCAACCGCAACAGGGTGCGCGGCCATTTGACACTTATGGCCGACTATTTTGCCCCCATTGCACTATTCACTGGCCATTTTCGCCGGTGTTTTCGGGTGCGCAACACTCTCTTCGATCGTTTGTACCATGGCGTTCGGTCTTACGATGACTACTTCATCTCGAAGAAGGACGCCGTGTGAACGATTGGCTTCTTTGGTTACCAAAAGTGCACGGCCGCACTCCGGATGCTTGCATATGGCACGACCACTGATTCATGGGACGAGTACCTACGAATGTCTAAGAGCACATGCAAAAACCTTGTGGAAGGTGATGACATGTTGTGTGATCACGCACAACATGATCATCGAGGATGAGAGTGATGATGTTGCCGCAGCTCTGGAATTTGAGAACATGGGTGATCTTATCCAACTTCCATACCAGAATCTGGCCACATTTGAGGAGCTTATTCAAATGCATCAACAAATTCGGCATCCACCAACTCACAAGAAGCTGATGGGAGATCTGATTGAGTATCAGTGGACGGTAAAAGAGAACAACAATGTTGGGATGTAATATGTGAACTTTTTTAAAATTGAACTAGTGCTACATGAGGCTATTTGAACATCTGTACCCTTTGCATGCGGCTATTTGAATGTTTGTGCCTTTTGCATGCGACTATTTGATCGTGCGGACTTGGAAAAAATGAGGAAGGCCGAATGTATGCGGCTACGGTTCAAAGACGTTCTCCCACATCCGTGTCCTACAGACTGGTCTTTCTCTGTCTGCAGATGGATACGGGAGCATTTTTGCAGGTTGCCATCGAAGATGCCCCAAGTTATGTGGCTTAGAGAAACTCCAATGGGGCGACCCATTTCGTCCGCGGCCGTCCGTTCGGGTCGGCGCGGACAGAAAAGGCGGCCCAACGCGCCGACCTAAACGGACGCGCGTCCGTTTTTCGTCTGCGGGCGACCCATTCCCGGCCCATTTTTAGCCTGATTTGCGTCGGCGCGGACACGTGACGGACGCACGCTTGCTCGCCTACTCCTGTCCCCGGGCCCGCTCGTCTGTGGCACATTGGCCTTCCCTCCCCCCAACCAACAAGCAACCCTCGCCTCCGCCTCCTCCGTCACCGACGCCGCTGCCTATTTTGCCGGCGACTCTCCCAGCTGCCGCCGCCTCCACATCCGCCCAGCAACGCCGCCCCTGCCCCCAGTCGCCCGCCGCCGCCGTTTTGCCGCCGGGGAGCAAGCTGGTTCCTCACCGCTGTTTCCCCCACGCCCAGCCGCCCCGCGACCAAAAAGACGCCTCGCCGCCCCAGCCACAGACGACCGACACGCTCGTCGGACGCCGGCCGGGCAGCTAGCTGGTCTGTGGGCGTCGTGTCTCCCCTCGTCGGTCGTCTCCTTCTTCGACGCCCGCAAACTGTTCGACAGTTTGCCAAGGTACGAAAATGGACTCCGCCGACGAGTTCTTTTTCCACAATAGAAGACGAGCGCCCAGAACGTCTGTACGATCAAGGTTTTCAGTTTCAGGGTGAGAATGTTGTGCCTGAGCATGGAGTAGCGGCAACATTTGAGCAGTTCACTTAGTTTCATGAAGACATGCGTGATTGGGAAACTCACGTGCAACTGCAAAATGATTTGGTTAAGCATATGTGGACTCATGTTGGCAATCAATAAATGTATCTTTTTTATTCGTTTTGCAAAACTATGTGAAACATTTTTATTTTTATTTGGCCTGTAAACTATACTATTTATTTGGGCGGACTATTTTATTTGTTAAATTTTCATTTCACCATATGTGAGAATGCAATGCAAAATTGGGCGGCCAGCCGGCCACGCCTGCACATACGGGTTGGCGCGTTGGGCGCGCTGCCGACCCATATGAAAAACAGGGCGGACGTCGGGCGGGCGGCCGACCCAAACAAACAAAAAACGGACGAAATTGTCATCCGTTTGGGTCGACCCATTGAAGTTGCTTTTATTGCTCTATGTTTTGATCATTTCATCCGAGTTGTTGCATCGAAGTTGAATTCCGTTGCGGGGAAGATTATGTCTATGCTGGAGTTGCCATTAAGTCGGACAGAACCAGAACTGAGGTCAAAGTGTCAACCGCATCAAGCCATCAAAACAAGCAGGACAGCAGAAACCGGTACAGGACATAGGTCGTACGGGGAAAACGGCACACCACCAGAAACGGATGTGTGGGCGACAGCCCTCCAAGCAAAAACTCTACTCGTGCAAACGGTTTGCTGGACTGAAAATTGCAGGTCAGAGCTGTCAGCATCACAAGACAGGGTTCTGGCACCGGCAGACGATGGATCGCCATGCCATGCGAGGAAGAGCAGGTCTGACCGGTCAAATGAAGAAGACACCTGACCTGAGAGTTAATTGAAAAAAAAAAACACCACGTTTGGCGCATCGATTCTAAAAAACTATCTAATCCTTAATTTTATGCAAAAATCACCGCGTTCTCAGTAATCTTTTTACAGAAAACACTCATCGGAGGATTTAGGCCGTTTAATCATTTTCTGACAAGTGGAGCCGAACTGTAAGGAGCTGACTTGGCAAAACATTGACATACAACCCCTGGATCGAAAAGAAAAACGCAATCCAACCCAGCGGGTGGCCTCCCTCCTTTCTCTGATCCTGCAAACCGCCGCCGACTTGAGGCCTCCTCTACCCGGCGCCTCTGGCAAGCTGACGCCCGCAACCTGCAGGCCCCTCACGCTGTCGTCCCCTGCCTCCACTTCTTCTCCTTTCTTCTCTCTTGTTCTCTGCAAGAAGCCGCCATGGATGGGGGGTTGTAGTTGTGCGTGTGGGTGCAGGTCGCGGCGGTAGACTGCTGCTGCTGTCATCCGACATACTCTGTTCTTGATTCCAATTTCTTTTCCTGGCCGAGCGACTGTTGCACAACTTGCCCATTGACTGCACACAAAGTGGTTGTTCTTGGCATACAATTCTGTCACAAAATGGATGACGGGGTTGACCTCCCGAGCCAATTCTTCTTCCCCCACCAGGAGATGCTCGGCGCCTTCGGCAACCTCCTGGCAGTCGTCGCCGCCGCGACCTACACCCACACCCACCACGCCGCTCAGCTTGCCTGCACCCCCACCTCCGGCCACCTTCGCTCGCCGCCGTCCCATTCCCGTCCAGATTCGATGCCCTGGTTAGAGAGGACAACGACACTTGGAGCATGAGTCCGTGGCCTGTGGCCGCCTCCGTTTGCCGCCCGCAGGGCGCCTCATGTGGCGGCCTTGAGTGCAGCCGCGACGACTTCGGGCACGGGTAGAAGACGACGAGCGAGGCGCCCTCCCACTTCCCGGCGGATACACGGCGAGGCGGACGTGCACAAGATGCGACAGGTACTGGCCTCATCTCTGGGTCGCACGAAGCCTGTAGCGGTGGTCGCTGACGTGCTTGTCGGCGGCGGCGACATCGCCGGAGTGGCGCGGGGGGTCGGCCAGCTCGGGCTCTCCCATCCGATGGGATCGAGGCAGCAGGCTCTGTCAAGCATGTCCTGGGCTGATTGCTTTTTTAGATCTACTAGGGGTCTGTGTGTAATTTTTTTGCCAAGTCAGCTCCTTACAGCCCGGTCCCCTGTGTCAAAAAGTGATTAAATGGGCTAAATTACCTGATCGGTGCAATTTGCAAAAAGTTTACTAGAAACACGGTGGTTTTTGCATAAAATTACTAGGTGGTTTTCTGCAATCGATGTTCAAAATGTGATGGTTTTTTGCAATTAACTCCCTGACCTGAGGGCACATCAAAATCTGATAAAGCTGCTCAACCAGGACGGACACCTGAGGAGAAGAGTTGTTACATGTAGTCTTTTCTACACCATCAGCAGAGCAGCACAATGCTACTCAGTTTTCTACTGTTTCCTGACCATCCAAACATCAGGTTAAACTACCGAGCCTCTGTGACGAGGGCAAGGCGGTGTCTAAGTCAGTAAAACGAGATGTAGTATGTGAGCTTCCGCTTGTGCTGCTTCTCGAATGCAGCAATCAGGTCATCGATTATTTCCTCCCAATCACCAGCCACCGCTTCAAGCTGAAAAAACGAGAGCAGAGCACACAAGTTAACTTCTCCTTTGTTTCACACAACATGAATAATAACGTCACCATCACGTTTCAAACTTGTAAACCGTGCGCAGACTAACATGAGAAACACAAGCTTGTGAGCAAAATCATGATAAAGAAAAATACATCTAATTTTTATATAATCCGCCTTCGCCTGCGACCTATCAACTCCTGTCGAAGATGCTCTGGTCGCGCATGGTGGAGCAAATGGCCTGTGGACCATGTCCAGGATTCACAGGTGGCCGCGGGTTCTACTGTGGCCTAGTCTGCTTGCGGCTGCTTTGCTGAGTTCGCCTAGTCCGCGTGTTAGAAGATCCTACCAACACATGTGTGTTGTGCCCGGTTTTAGTTCGCAGCTGGGCTTGATGCTGCTGTTTGCTAATGTCCTAGTTGTATTAGAGTGTCATTTTGGTTCCTGCTGTACTGGGGAAGACTACAGGAAAGTTGTGTGCTGCTCTCTTAATGCAATCTGTTCAATCCCAAAATTTGGTTCACTACCGTCTGCCTCCTTTGTCCCACATGCTGATGGCTGCTGCCGAATTGCCTTCATGGGGCTGGTTGATGAGTATGCTTAAGTTCCAACATGTGTAGCCCAAACATAAACATACTAAGTTAGAATGTGTGGGGATTGAACTGCCCCAATTGCTGTATCACTGTCAGCGCATGCATCGCTGCTACCCCATGTCAAATTGCTTGCATGCAGGAATCTAAGTTAGGTGGCTGTGATGATAAAGCACCAGTTTCCTGGGTGGTCACCGCCTGCTCCACTACGCCCAGCGTCCTCCCGAGGGCACCGCGGCTGACCAGGGTCCAAAGCGGCCGAGATCCTTCAAATTCAAGAACTTTGGGGTCAAGATTCCGGGGTTTAAGGAGGTGGTTGAAAAGACTTGGGCGGAGCCGCATGGGCATGTGGAGCCGTGTCAAATCCTCTATCACAAGCTCCAGCTGGTGTCCTCCTGTCTCGGTCGTGGAGCAAGCCCCTCTTCTTCAACGCTAAACTCCAGTTGCACATGGCCTTGGAGGTGATCCTCCGTTTTGGTGTCGCCATGGAGCACCATTCTTTATCTGCGGAGGAGGCATCCTGTTCAGCGCCCTTATGACTTCAACTGGACGGACTTGCGTATCACTGCCTCCAATCTTGAGGGTATCGACGCACCTTATTCGGAGGACAAGGCGGCTGTCATGGAAATGCCTGGTGACAAGGCCCCCGGTCCGGATGGGTTTACTGGTGCGTTCTTCAAATCTTGTTGGGATGTGATTGCGCTCGACATCATGGCGGTCGTCAACCTTTTCTCCAATCTCCACACGACCATTTTTTATCGGCTCAACTTCTCTTCTTCCCAAGAAGGACGGCACCAAGGAGATTAATCCATGCCATTGCTAAGATCATGGCTAAAATTTCGGCAAAGAGATTGTCTCTGCACATGAGCACCTTGGTCTCCAACGCCCAAAGTGTGTTCATCAAGGGACGAAGCATCCATGACAACTTTCTTTTTGTCCACAATTATGCTAGGAGACTCCACCACAACAAGCGATCGATGTTGGTGCTCAAGCTTGACACTAAAAAGGCCTTTGACTCCGTCCCTTGGGACTATATCTTCGATGTGCTCGCGCGCCGGGGTTTTCCTCCTAGGTTCCGAGATTGGGTGGCCGCCTTCTTCACTTCCTCCTCCTCGCTCATCCTGCTTCATGGTGTGCATGGAAACCCTATAGGGCATGGTTGTGGGCTCAGACAGGGCGACCCTCTATCACCTCCCTTATTCGTGATTGCCATTGACCCTCTTCAAAGCATTCTTGAGCAGGCCACTATTCAGGGCTGGTTGCAACGTCTGGCTGGGCAAGGACCACGATTCAGAACCTCCATGTATGCCGATGATGAGGCCATTTTTGTTGCTCCTACTAAGGAGGACGTGACAGCCCTCTCTCAGACTCTTATCAAGTTTGGCCACGTCACCGGCCTAGTGACTAATTTCCAAAAAGTCTTGTTGCACCAATTAGATGCAATGGTATCATGTTGGATGACATCCTGGAAAGGATCCCAGCGAGGCTCTCCTCATTCCCTATCACATATCTCAGCCTCCCGCTCTCTGTCAAGAACCTCAAGTGCATTGATCACCTTCAAAGTTCAACCTAGGTATACATGGAGGTGGTTAATATGCTGATGCCGGCCCAGTAGGAATTCACTGCACTAGATGGTGTCTGCATGCCAAGGTTGGCAGCTGATTTCAGATCAAACAAAATGAAGCCCCAGAACTTCAGCTTCAAAGCCCTCACCTTAAACCCTACCTTCATTGCTGCATGACTTTTTCATTAACAGTTTCAACCTTCATTGCTGCATGGATTTTTCATCAACAGTGTCGACCTTCATTGCTGCATGGATTTTTTCCTTAAGTGAAAAATATATATATCCTCACAATAGGATGCCGAGCTTGCTGATGAGATAGGACTAAGTGACTATTTTCAAAATGAGACAGGAATACGTGAATAACTTTAGAAGTGCCAGCACTAGCTTTCTTGAGGCAAGTTGTACACCCACTCTTAAATAATGGTTTGAGGCATATTCGTCCTACTTGAGTGTCTTATTAATTTTGTATAAAGTATCATATTGTGAAATATGCTAGTGATAACATGAAAAACCGTGTGCATTACATTGTGGAGGGAGTTGCAATTCATGAATCCTTCAAGGACAGGGTGCCCTGAAGAGGCATGTTTGGGGGGAAAGAAGGGCAACGTTAAAGACAATGCTTAGGAGGAGTCACAGGCACAGAATCATACTAGGTGAATTTACATGAAACGAATGGTTGTGTATACAGAGGGATCCCTGCAGGTATAATTGACCAACGCAGCCTTGTTGGTGTGCTTTGGTGTGGCAATTTGGCAGGCACAGGAGATACTATTCCCATACAGTATCAATAAAATTGTCAGCGAAAGTCACCAGAACACTTAGGTTGGCCGATTGGGTGTATTATCAGGTTTGCAATAATGAATCCATGCTATACCGTAACATAATCTTTTTAGGGTATGGAACTACAATCATGCCGCGTTTCAAGGTAGGCTTCCCACTGACATGAGAAAAGGAGTGGTGTATCCTGAAACACGAATCTTTGGATTGGCATTTCCTGAAGATTTCTACGTATCAAGTACATTCACTTGCATGGTGATTGAGACGCTAGACTTGATCACTAGTATTTATTTACTGATGGTCATTTTTCTGTTTCATCAAAAATGCGCGTAGCCTGCTGTCCAAGTGGTAAATTACCAAAACCTTTCTATTCGTTGCTACCTGTGGATTGGCTATACAACTGGGATCTCAAAGGATAATTTAAGTGGTGCACTTATTAAGTACTTGTTCATGAGGACAGAAGAGGATTGAGGATGGAGCTATGAAGTGGAGACCTAAGAGGATGATGTCAGCAATAATATGCCAATTGCGATGGATGATTCGTTTCTGTTTTTTTTATTCACTGCACTAGCTTGTTGAACTTGTAAACTTGCACTGAGATTTAGCTGTTCTAGAGCTTCCATCATCATTTAGCTATTTATTTACTTTAAGTAACACTCCTTTTCTATAATTTAAGATTTAAAGTAGTACATGGGCCCAATCCAATTTAGCATGTATTGTCCCTAGTGTGCGGGAGCACAGTTAGTTCGTCACTATCATTAGCATTCACACCATTTGTACAAAATACATATCGAAAATAAACACAAAGATATATTTTGCTTGGTGATTAGAAAATCATTGGAAGGAATAACTTTGCACCCTGTATATGTTATGCTGTTTGGTTACCTTGTGGCATAAATCTAAAGCAAGCTTTGCCCCAATAGCAGCTTCTTCATGGTTATCTTTCACGTCCATATTGATTATCAGCACGCTCTTCAATAACCTCTGCTCACGGTTATTCATATCTGCACACGACCAAATCCCAACCTCAGTGAATGCCAAGAAAACCATGCGGTTTCTAGCG